ATTCTGACGGCCAAAATTCAAATCTAACACCAACACCTGAACCACCGTCCTCTGCTCTACAAAACCCCTTTAACCCCGGAACTTGGTAGCCCCTCGTTTACCAGTCGTGACCGCGAAAACCATTGCGATTGGGCAAATTCTGATTGATTCTGGCATCAAAAATTCAATCCAACACCATCACCTGAACCATTGGCCTCCACTCTACAAACTCATTTAACCCCAGCACTTGGTAGCCCCCTATTTGCCGGTTGTGACTCACTTATTAGGTTGATTTTTTTAGTCGAATTTCAGATGGTTTCGGCATCCAAAATTCAATTCGATACCTCCCTTTGAACCACTAGCCTCCACTCCACAAAACCCCTCTAACCCTGACACGTGGTAGCCCCTCGTTCGCCAATGGTAAGATTAGGGATTTGGGTAAACAGTAAAATTAGAAAATCGGACCAGAGAGGGTGCCGATCGACGGTCAAACCGGTCTGGATTTAAAGTATTTAAACAAAATTATAAAGTATCTAGAGAAAGAGAGGATATTATAGTAAATTTTTTAATTTAAAAATTTGACAGTAATTAATATGTAATCATCAAAACTTAAAATGGTAAGGTTATAGTGAGAATCATCCCTTCATAATTTGTACTTTATAAATTCCTCATTGGTAACATTAAAATTTCTTTAACAAATTCCTCTGATCTCTCATTTTCCTTCACTTTCTCTCTATCCAAACAATTTATGGTTATTGCATTTATTATAATTTTTTAGACTTCAGTTAGATTGTGCTACTAGAAAACTAGCACAAGGTTATGGTGATGGGATTGATTGATTTAATTATGAGTCTCACTCAACAATTTCCTTTTTCACTATAATCAACAAGCATTTAAGATACGTAGTTTCACCATTGTGGTTATATATAGTCTTCTCTAATTAACTGCTTCAATTTTCATGGACTTTCTATGAAATAATTGCACAATTTAGGATTGTAAATTGGAGCCAATTATAACTCACAAAGGTTTGACATTGGTTCACACTTTGAAATTAGGTGCTAAATGGTAATTATGCATTCCCGAAACTAGGGGTGTCGAGAAAACTTTGAATTCACAAAAAATTCAACCTGGTTTAAGTGGGTTAGGGTTGATCTTAATTGTATTTGTATTAATAAAATTAATTCATTTGTCAATCTTGTAGTGTTCATATTGATGGTTCTCTAATACAAACTCATTTAGTGACAAAATTAAACCTATACCCACCCATCGGTAGTCTAGCTATAAAAGCGAACTAAGTGGGCTGCAAATGGGTAGAACCCACAATCTCAAGTTCGATTATCCATTTGACGCAAAAATAATACATTTGTTAATGATTTACCTGGAGGGTCATGGCAGTGGGTTGCTGTGGGATGGTTCTCCCTAAAGATTAGTCAAGATGCGCGTAATCTAACCCAATCTCTTGTGTAGATGTTTTGATCTTTTAAAATTTTGAATCTTAATTCTACCTAATAAGAATTCATTCATTCATTCATTCATATATAAATTGACTTTTGTACGCAAGATTTTATATACAAAATTAATGTTATATGCTAGTGTTAACTCATATTTAATCGGTTCATGTAATGATAAATTCATATTCTAAATTAGGTTATTAATTTTGAACCCATTTGAATTTCAGTTTATTCCTTTCATTGAAAAAAAAAAAAAAAAAAAATTGATGATTTTCACTCTTGTCCACTTCCCAATGCTCAAAAGAAACAATCTTTACTCACACAAATTTATAACTTCTTTGAAATTAAATGATGAAATAATATCTATGTTCCATATTTGAACCAAACAATAACCTTCGCCACTTTTTTCTTTCTTTTTCCCAAATTGGGTACTTGCAAAAATTCAATAAGTCATTGTAGCATGTCCTGATTTTGAGGAGCCATGGTTGGCTAGCTTGAATTTCATAACCCTACCAAGCTATACTCTTTTTGTTAATTTTTTTCTCTTTTGTATGGTCATGAAATTATGAAATTGAATTGATGGATATGTCAGAATTTTCTTCTCGTAATTTTCAAAAAAAAAATTTACCTGATTTATCCACTATATTCATAAAGTAAAAGTGTCTATATAGGTGTAACATTTCTTGTAACACCATTTTGTAATGCTTGGACCATCTTCAAATTAATTATATGCTTTTTGTGTAGTATTACTCTTGTTTTTATCATTTGAGAGTTGGGGTCCTTCATAATTCAAATTTAGAGGGGTTTACCTACTCTACGTTACAGCTTATCTCTCATGTGAGTCTTGTTTAGATGATTTATATATTTGAGTAGGGGTGATTGGTGAGCATGGGTAAAGGATAAACCCGAAACTAATAGATATCTGGACCTCTAGTTTCGGGTAGGAACAGGAATCGGTCTTTACAGGGTAAGTTCTGGTTATGAAAAATTGGAACTGGGAATTCTCAAGTCCGATTCCAATTCCTACAGTGCTAGGAATCGGTTGGTTCCGATTCCATTTTCGATTTCTAGCAATTTCGACTAGTACCTGGAGGCTAGAATCGCTTACCCCTATATTTGAGCATCATTCATGGAATGATTGTAAATTAACCTTTGATTATATGTAGCTAAAGAGATCAACAAATTATATATAGATTACTTTCAAAAGTCTTTTAACTATTGAATGATGCATGTTAATTAGGAAATTAATTAATGAATTTATTGAAGAGAGTGATCTTGGATTTCAGCACAAAGTAGTGAATTTAAGAATTTTGATACTGTAAAATAGTGTACCTTTTCTTTGTTATTGCCAGACTGTTTCAAATTTAACTTTTGGGCATGAGAACTTGAGAAGTCCAATCTTGTCTCCCTAGCTGTGATATACAAATTAAATGTTACATAATTATATCCACGTGCATATCATTCAATGCCTACTTTACCACATTATTAATTAATATTGAAGAATAATATTTCAATTTCATCTTCAAAAATGTATATCATCTTATAATTAAAGCTAAGTAAATAAAGGATTAAATTAAGTTAAATAAACAAGTAAAAGGGTTTTTTTTTTACTTTTTTTTTAATAATAGTGTGGCCTTTTTAAAAATAAATTCAATAAAAATTACGTATAGAAACATAAGTTCATCCAATTTTATTTTCATAAATCCAAGACCTCTCTTCCTTCCATTTTGATTCAATGGTGGTACTCATAATCTAACTATGAATAATTGCATACATATATCTTTAGAATATGATTATCATGTCCTATCAACAAATTCTAGTATTATTTATGCATATGTTCATAATTTTTTTTATGCATATATATATATACAACAACAAAAATGTGATTAAGGATGATTTTAAAGTACTATTCTTAATAAAAAAAATACAATTTTTATTAAAGTTTCTTAAAAAATTATAAGACATTAAAAAACCGTATTCTTTTAATCTTTTACTTAATGTGAATAATTGATATAATTTTTAATATAAAAATATTACGTATACGTATATAAATCCTATAAAATGTTAACATAAATGATAGTTTTGAAAAACAAAAAAAGCTCTTTTATAATATAAAATAAAAACCCCTTCTTTTCTTAAGAAAATGTCATATAGAAGAAAATTGATTTTCCAAGATGAAGTGTTTTGCAACCGACGTTGTAAAACTTGGTTGCAATATGCATGAAAACTAAGTGACTGAATCCAAAAGAAAACTTCCTCATTTTAAACGTCTTCTTTATGTAATTTTGTTGCAATATATTTAATTTAATTTTATATAAACAAATAAAGAGAAGCATTTAATTTATACAAATTAAACAGAAGCATATAAAATATATGGCTTTTTATATTGCATCATAATAAGTATTCTGAGCACACCTACCCAAATGAAACCCTAGAATGATTGCCCTTCTCTGCATGCGCAAATTTTCTAATTATTACAACTCTGTTCACAATCAAGTGTCTCACTTCCAAACAAAAACTCATGACCTCACAAACTTGCACAACCCGTCTGATCTCAATCAGGAGGACGGTGATGAAGTAAGTTTTTATTTAGTCAAATCTCTTCTGCCTTCTGATTGGTGAGAACTTGGTTCATGATTGATCACTGAGATTGAACAGCCTCAGAAGTACTGTAGAAACAGTATACTATGAGGTGGTTTTTGCTTTCGGGATCAAGCCAAAAACATTATTTACTATGCTCCAACCAAGTACGGTTAGTTCTTAATCATTGTGTATGCTTTTAAAATGCAGGTTTTCATTCACCAGTGTCCTGAAATTTTATGTTAAATATGAGCTCGATCATCACCCATACTCATAATTAAACTTTAGGAAGCTGCAATAATAATAATAATAATAATAATAATAATAATCTAATTAAGTTAAGTTAATTAGTTCTTGTTGAGTATGGGGTCAAGAAATGATTAGAGTGGCCAGGCTAATCAATGATTAATGAGTAATTACAAGCTTAATGTGATGATTGTATGGTAACAATATCTGAAAAATGTTGATGATCTCCATTAAAGTCCAACAATCTTCTGAAACAAACAGGAAAAAGAGAGCTTTAGAAAAACTGGAAGTAGTAGTGTGTATTAAAAGCAATGAAGAATCCCTAGAATTTCAGCGCTTCAATTGATGATCTCCATTCAATACAAGAACAAGAACAAGAACCCTAGCTATGAGTAATAAATGTTAACCTAGAGAAAGTTAAGATAGAAAAAAAAAAAAAAATCTCAACCGTTGATTCTTCTTTCATGAAGGTGGGTCCACCCTCAATCTCTTGTCAATTCTTTTTGTTCTTCATATATAATATATATCCATCCCTTCTTCATAAAACTAAATTCTCCCAAATCATTCCTTCTTCTCTCTTTCTCTCTTTGATTCTTAATTTTTTAACTCTTTCTTTTTTTTTTTTAAGTGTCATCAAGCTGTTTCTCCTTCTTCAAGAACGTTATTACATTTCTTTGAGTTCTTGAAGTTTAATTCTTTACAAGTTGTAGCAAACTGGTTTTCAAGAGCTGACCGTTTTGTGCAATGGATATGAATCAAACTCGGCTCGGAAATCATGTATGGGAAGTTGAGATGGCGAATATGGAAGAGCAAATCCTCCATGACCCGATTTGCACCTTCAATTCCCTCTTTCCGAGCTATAACTTCCCTCTTCAAACGCCGCAAATCGCTTCATCGTCAGCAGCAAACCACCACTTGTCTTCTTCGAGTGTTTTCGCTGAACAGATGCAACAACAACACAACATGGAGGAATTGCAACAACAGCAGGAAGAGGAAGAAGAAGAGCCGGAGGAGGAGCTCGGCGCCATGAAAGAGATGATGTACAGGATCGCGGCGATGCAGCCAGTGGACATCGATCCGTCCACCATCCGGAAGCCTAAAAGGCGAAACATCCGCATCAGCGACGACCCCCAGAGCGTGGCAGCGCGTCACCGACGAGAAAGAATCAGCGAAAAGATCAGAATTTTGCAAAGGCTTGTCCCCGGAGGCACGAAAATGGACACGGCGTCCATGCTGGACGAGGCCATCCGCTATGTCAAGTTCCTCAAGAGGCAAATCCGGTTACTCCAGTCGAATAATCAACAAAAACCATCAACACAGACGCCATGCCTCGTGGACCGGCAACTTTCACGCCCGAAAACGATGACGAATAATCCTCTCGCTTCATCAACCATTGCAATCTCACACGATCATCACCACCAGGGCCTGACGTTCCAAGCCAGGACAAACAATTTGTGCTTTAACCACGAGGTAATTAGCGAAATAATGAGCTTAATTAGTGAAAAAACAACTGATTAAATGTACATATAATGTTTTAGGGAGGATTCATGTGAAAGAAAGGAAAAAGTTGTTAGGATATTGTTGACTAAAGGGGCTTGAAGAATAATCATAACGGATAGCTTGAGTTACGTACAACCATATATAAAATATATTATATAATTTTTATATTATGAATAATTTATAATAAGGTGGCCGGAAAGTTTGTTTGGGGGACTCTTTTTCCGGGAAAAAAACAGTGACGTGAGAGGGAGCTATTGAATAATAATATTATTATTGGCTTTTGCTCGATTTGTATACGTATGGAAGTGTGTATTTTTGTAGAGGTTTAAATTAATATTATATAAATTAAAGGGATGAAGCCATGTGCAAATATGATGAATGAGTTGTGTCCATGTGGAGATAGAAGCGAATTTTAGAAAGGAATGATGATCTTTGTGCAGATTCACAAGCTTGTTTATGAACTAAAGAAGAAAGGCCTAGAGGATGAACAAAGTGAAACCCTAGATGGAAAAATAAATTAAGAGATTATTTAAGATATATAATATAATCTTGTTTCTTGCATGTAAGTGAAAGGTAGATACATCTCCTGATAAATTTTGAAAAGATTTATATTGAGGGGTTTCATTTAATTTAAGAAAGAAAACTTCTATTTTATTAAGCTTTAGCTAATTAAATTATAATATTATTAGACTCTAATTTCTTTGTTGTTAGATATATAAAACTAATAATATATATTTGTTCTGGAATTAATTGGGCATCGATCCAATATGCATTAATTCTTATTATGTAAAATGGATTTTTATTAATGTTCCTTGAGGTTCTTATAGTTTTATATATAAGAAGTAAGAAGAGTAATATTCCTTGAGGTTCTTATAAGGATTAATTTATAGAATATATAAGTAGAATAGCCTAAATAATGTAAATTAATTAACATCGACAATCAGAAGCAAAATAATTGTATGATTACAATAAAGTTTCTCTCCAATATGTGAAATTTCAATGGATTAGCAAATCTTATTCTCAATGTATCATTTGTNTATTTGTTCTGGAATTAATTGGGCATCGATCCGATATGCATTAATTCTTATTATGTAAAATGGATTTTTATTAATGTTATATATGAGAAGTAAGAAGAGTAATATTCCTTGAGGTTCTTACAAGGATTAATTTATAGAATATATAAGTAGAATAGCCTAAATAATGTAAATTAATTAACATCGACAATCAGAAGCAAAATAATTGTATGATTACAATAAAGTTTCTCTCCAATATGTGAAATTTCAATGGATTAGCAAATCTTATTCTCAATGTATCATTTCTGAAACCAAGAAACAAATGATACCTTTGTCAATAATGAGTATTGAAGTCTATATATAAGTAAATTAGAAATTTTACAAAACATTTAAATCTTATAGTAAGAACAAATAATGCTTCCTTTTTAATTACAAACATTATCAGAATACGTAAACATAATCAAAACATAACAAAAATTTGTTTCGTGCGTTAAACAAAATCAGAGCTCCACAAGCAAAGTCTAATAAACGATGAATATTCAATCTCTCATATAAAAAATTACTAAGTATCACATGGAAAATTTCAAGACCTTCATAATATTTTATCATAATATGTGTACTTGGAAAGATTTGACAGTGATTTTGATAACATAAATACATAACTGAAGTCGAAAATTTTCAACCTTCAATTGATTTGATTTGGTTCTGTTGTTCTAAAATTTGCAAGATGAAGTTTTTTATCATACTGATTGAGAAGGCAAAATTGTGGGATATATATATATATAAGGTTTTGATAAAATCCGGAAATCCAAAAACCTAAGAATTTTCGATATATATTTGCCTTTATATGATCATCCATGCAGCATAAAGAGAAGTTGAGTAATGAATTATATTAAAGTTTCTTAATTTTGTCAAAATAGTATATTTCATTGAGTAATGAATTATTTTTATACATCTTTAAGTTTTGGATCTAAAATGATGTATATTATTTTTAATTATAAATATTATATATTAAAATATATATTTATATTTTTCAAAATTCTTACAAAATTTGTATTATTATATAGATTTTAATTAAAGGTAACATTAAAGATGTAACTTAATAATTTAACTTAAATTTTTTTAAATTTATTAAATCTAATTAATATTTGTAAAACAGTCGATGAGATAGTTATTTTAATGTCAACTTAACAACTGTTTTAGTTATTGGATTGACTTAGATATGAGGTTGTTAAATAGCTAAAAAGGAGTTGTTGGGCTGACAGAAAAATAATTATTTATTAAATCCTTACAAAAATAATAATTAAATTAAAAGAATGTTAAATTACCCTAAAATATTTTAAACATAAGAAAAGATAAAATTAAATTTATAAAATAGGATATAAATAATTATAAATTTCGACGGTTTAAATAAACTCAAAAAAATTTATGGAATCAGATAATTTTTTTATTATTAAAAATTACCGTTTTAGTGTTATAACCATTTACTTTTGCCAGTGGTCAAGAAAAGGCCATTTCACTTTTTTCATTACCAAAGTAATTAAAGGTTTAATCTTGGTCAAGAAAAGGATGGTTTTGTATTATTTAGCTTTCAATTACCAAGTCTCAACGTCGTTCAAAAACTAATTTTTTATTTTATTTATTTATTTTGACATGTCATAATCTTTTATCATCTAATATTAAACTAGGGTTTAATTCTTTTTATTAAAAATAATTATATTTTTTATTTCAAAATAACTCAAACAATAATTCGAGCATAAGTTATGGCGACAAGGCAAAAGTTATTGTAATAATTGAATGTTGTTATTACCATGTAAAAAAGAAAGAACTTTTTTAATGATTAGTGAATATTATAGGACTAATAATAATAACTTAATAATAATAAACTTTAAGGAAAAAGTTAATAAATAATTACTTTTAATATAACCTTTAATGAACCAATAGTAACATTGAGAAACAAAAATAAATATATATTATTAAATAACTAAAATTCATTCCTAATAATATATAAATTCTCTTATCATTTAGTTTTTGGAGGTTAAAATAAACAATAAAGAGACAAGTTCATAAATATTCATTAATTTAGTATATCATAAATTTTAACAGCAAATTAGCGGTTTATTAATGATAAGAGAATTTATATATTATTTCTTAAATCTTAGTGAGACTTGGTTTTATTTTTAAACCTTGGTTCGAGAAAAAAAAAAAAAAATCACTAAATTTTATTTAAAAATAGTACAGATAAAAAAACAAATCTCTATTACCGATCTTCTTTAACTACTACTTAAAACATTACTGCTCTCTCTCTTCAGGCTTCTCTCTGTTTTTTTCTTATTTTCTCTATTTTTCATGTAAATTCTCCTTCTCTTCAATCTTCACGATCTCTTCCACCATTATCCCTCATTAATCTTCCTATTCTTTGCGGATTTGTGAAGATAGCTTGCAGCTTTCTGTTGGATATAGAATCTGAGAGAGTTTACCAATTTTGAAGAGAAATCAGAGCTGCAGAGATGGTTGTGGCCAGGTTTTCTTGAGATTCTAAAGATTCCCTTTTGGTTCTTTTGATGATTTATTTAATGGTTGTGATCAAAATGTGTTCTTGGATTGAATATAGATTTTTTTTTTTTTTTTATAGATGTTTTTGTTCTTGTATTTAAAATGGTGTTGATATGTGGGCTTGGAGGTTTTTTGTTCTTTTGAGCTTGAGTTATATATGGTGGCTTGGTCTGTAGCTGTTTCGTTTTTCGTATAATGGGTTTAAAGGATCTTCATGTCATGATAGGGCTCATGTTTGTTTTATTTTTGTTGAATAATGGTGGTGAAAAGATGGTTGAGATGATGTATAGTTTGGATAATGGTATGTTGAATCTTGGCAATGCTAATGATTGAGATGATGAGTGGGTTTAATAGGCCTTTGTCATTAAGTAGGAGCACGTCGTCTGCTCGGAGGACTTTGAATTCCGCACTTGCTGGGAGCGCCAGATTAGGTTTAGGAAGTCCGAAAGGGAATCGATTGAGCTGTCTTTCACAATGGTTTCACGTGCTTATCATCATCGGTTCTTTGGCTTCGTTTCTTATTGTCATTGGTGGGGGTTATATATATGTGCTTCCAAGTCTCAGTCGGGCATCTCTTGGTTATAGTATTTCCAAATTGAACAATTCAGGGGTCAGCTGTAATATTCTTGATGGAAGTTGGGTTATAGATGATAATTATCCATTGTACAATGCTTCGGAATGTCCATTTGCCGAACAAGGATTTAATTGCTTAGGTAACGGACGGGGAGATAAAGATTATCTTAAATGGAGGTGGAAGCCCAAGAAATGTGATATACCAAGGTTCAATGTGCAAAATATATTGGAAAGATTTCGTGGTAAGAGGGTTGTTTTTGTTGGCGACTCTATGAGTAGAACACAGTGGGAGTCATTGATATGTTTGCTAATGACTGGAGTGGAGGATAAGAAGAGTGTTTATGAAGTCAATGGGAATAAGATAACAAAACAGATTAGATTTTTAGGTGTTCGGTTTAGTTCCTTTAATTTCACTATTGAGTTCTTTCGCTCAGTTTTCTTGGTGCAACATGGTTGGATGCCTAGACATGCTCCAAGGAGGGTGAAGTCAACTCTTAGATTGGACAAATTGGATAATATTAGCAATGAGTGGATTAATGCAGACATTCTCATATTCAACACAGGACAATGGTGGGTGCCTGGGAAGCTTTTTCAAATGTAAGTTCCTTGCTTCATATGTAAATTTCTATGGTGACACATTGTTATTCTCATATGAAATTGACATATGATAAAATGTGTAGTTTTTATGTTCATTTAGTGGTTTTGAATTTTTTATTGAGACGTGAAAGGCAGTTCTTTTGTTCTCAATTCTCATATGCAGAACTTTATAGTCTTGACAAAAACATTATTTAGATTTTTTGGCCTCTGCTCCATACACGGTATAGTACATTTCATTCATGTTTAAAATTTACTGCTAAAATTTTCATTTGCAATAGATAAATTAAAATTTATTAGATAAATTAAAATTTATTGCATTCTCTCCGCATTTGATAGATTTATGATTCTGTCCTTCTACAATAGCTTTTTAGAAGTTTATGACTGTAGTTCTCTCTCTCTCTCTCTGTCTCTCTCCCTTTCTTCCTGTCATGGTTAGATCTATGCTAATGTTGGAAAGGAAGCTACTTTCTTTTGATGTTTGAAATTCCCATCAGAAAGAAATCAGTTTTTATCTTCCCTCCAGAAAGCAAGTATCTTCCCACTTCTGCGGTTGAACTCCCTTCAAGTTCTGCTTTCTCCCTAAATGTCATTTCACTTGAGGAATAAGAACATAAAAGTAGCTTTTTTTGGTCTTCTAACCAATGACCAATCCTGACTTTTTGCTACAACATCTCCTCTGTGACTGTTGTCACTCTGCTTCCACTTTCACCCAATCTATATCTGATCTATCCCCATGAGTTCTAATAATCATATCTGGAGGTTGTGAAACGTGGCAATTTGATATAGAAGGAAAAGAACATAGACAAGATATTTATTGTACTTCAGTAAGTGCTTCCATTCTTTTATGGACCTCTGCTGCTTTAGAATAACAAGTGGCCGGTTAGAATTCTAGACAAGTGCTTTCCTAGTGATGATTGTTATCTTTCTCAGCACTCTTGAACCCCTCATGTATGGACCAATGCCAAAACAAAAAGTTTCCCTGGAGAAGCCATGAGTGTTGCTGACTTTTGTGAACATGTTATGGGTGTCATATGATTTCTTTCTCTAAACTGGCTAATTTGTGGCTGTCTTCCGCAAATCATTTGTGTTAGTTTGTGTGGTTGGTAGTTATTGCTATAAAAGATTAGGTGGGAGGATATTGTGCTGATAGCAATGACATGAGCTTGGGTTTGTAGCCTTTGGAATTCCTGCAATATATTCAGCAGTGAAAATTTTATTCTCTGCTTAAAGACCAGGAACTTGTCAGCCTCAAGAGTGGAGCTTATTGTTTCATTTTCTTTTTCTATCTCAAAATTGATTCAATGTTATCTTTTGTCACTATATAAATAATTTTAAATAAATTAAACTGTGAGTTTTTCAACTAGTTTGAATTCCAGAATAGCTTGCTTTCTATAGAGCTAATCCACATCAAACCATCTTTTGTTATGATTAGAGTTAATCCCAAAACCCGATCTAGTACCCCTGCAACTCCAGCTAAAGGAAAAAAAAAAAAATTCAGTTTCTTAATATTAAAAGAAGAAATTTTTAGACCCAAAAAAGTCTTCTTAATAAGGAACATAAGTATTTTGAACACAGTTTTTCTTCCTCATTATGGTATTCACAAAGGTTACTTCTATTTTAGAGTCTAAGGGGAAGTTAGTGTCACATTCAGATACCTCAGCTGGAATATCTGCTAGTTTTCCAAAATTGATCTCTCTTTTGTACAATAACTCGAAGGGGGTTGGATTGAGGGGTTAAGACCTTAAGCTTTCAACAAAGAGGTTGGAGGTTTGTTAGGTCCACCTACTTTGGTTTTAATCCTGCTACCAAAGTTGAAGGTTTCAGCTGTAGTCCAGTCCCTTGTCTTAAACTTGGTCAGCTTGTAAAAAAGGGTTGAGGATTATTGGTTATCAAACAAGGGAAAAAAGAGGTAATTTTCTTACAGAATTTTCATGTTAGAGAAATAATCAACTTTCACTCACAATCAATAATCAACTTTCATATTTTGCTGAGCCTGATGTGTAAATTGATCCAAGTATGTTAGCCAAAAAAAGAAAAAAGAAAAATAAAAAAAATAAAAAAATTTCATTTTTGGATATCCAAAGGAAACTTTATTTACAAAGAATTTAATAGATTTCTACACCTGATCAAGTGTTTATTACTTGTGTTTCTGGTGGATCAAATGCTTAGCAAAGAGGAAAGTTGAAATGATTCAAGACTTTTCCGTGCAACCCATGCATATAGTAAGATCTTGCAGTTACATTATATTTGTAAATTTCATACATTAGCACCTGTCAAATTGCTGGTTTACAAGCACAGAAACCCAAGTTAACGTATCTTTGAGCATAATTCGTGCTTCAGTTGCAGAGCCTCATTTTTCCTTGTGCCCATGTATTCATAAGAAAAACGTTCTGTTTTAATTCAATAGATTAAGTCACTAGAGATGGCAATTTATGACTATTAGTTGGAGGAATAATCTTTCTGCTTTAGGCACTAAATTTAGACTTGTATTTGCTTCCAAGGCACTGCTGGTTTGTTCCATACTTGCACTGATAATTTGTTAAAGTTTGTGTTGTTGCTATTACCACTGTCATTATTGTGTTATTTTAATATTTCAAGATATACGTTTTGAACTGTAAGTCTATGTTTAGCATGTCAATGCTCCCTATCCTCTCTGTAAGAGAATATAAGTATTTAATTTTTAGTTTGTTGAAAACAAGTGGTTTTGTTAGGATCCCACATTAAGAGGGAAAAGGGATGGGCATGTGGTTTATAAGGAGTTGGCACCCTCCCTTGGCAAGCCGGTTTTCCAAGGAGAGTTTTACCCAACTCCCCTAAGGTCCTTGACCCAGACCCATACTTATCAAATGATATTAGAGCAGGCCCCACCTTCCGAGCCCACGTAGCAGGGCCCAGTGGGTCCCGGAGGGGCTGAGAAGGAGAGTTGCTGACATGCTTCTAGGCCAAATAAGACCTGAAGGGAGGGCAGTAAGGCCGACGAGGGCGAGCACTCTCTGGAAAGAAGACCAACGAGGGTGTTGGGTCTCACAGCGTGGGGGAATGTTACGATCCTACATTGAGAAGGAAAATAGGTGGGCATGTGGTTTATAAGAAGTTGGGCACCATCCCTTGGCAAGCTGATTTTAGCCCAGACCCATTCTCAACAATTGGTAACCCACTTTCAAATTGATAGGAATCGGTTTGGGTAGTGGTCCTTTTGTGGGCTTGGGTAAAACTCTCCTTGGAAAACCGGCTTGCCAAGAGAGGGTGTCCAACTCTTTATAAACCACATGTCCACCCTTTTTCCCTCTTAATGTGAGATCCTAACAGGTTTCATCTGGAAAATCATTTGTGTGCTTTAAAGGATATGTAAAACACCATATCTCATGATTTTTATGTACATTAAACATTATTGTTCCCTTACTCTTGCATGTTGTTGCATGATACAATGTTTTTACATGTTTGAGTAACCTTGTTTCTGGACAGGGGTTGCTATTTCCAGGTTGGAGATTCTATAAAGCTTGGAATGTCTATACCTACTGCCTTCCGATTAGCACTAGGCACATGGGCATCATGGGTCGAGAAAACAATTGACACAAACAAAACACATGTCTTTTTCCGGACATTTGAGCCATCTCACTGGAGGTAACTCTTTAATATTGGTATCCTGATGCTGTAATCATGAATATGCTTAGCCTTCCTGTTCATATAATTTCCCCAAACAAAGTCTGCAGCAGAGTCCAGAACTAAACATATTCAAGTCAATGTTATCAAAAAGCTACTATCTTTCTTCTTCACCAAGAATAGATTATTCACCACAAAAAGGCTTTAGGTTACAGCCTTTACTCCCTTTCAACAACCTTATATTTCTCTGGTTGAGCTATGATCAAACCTTTTAATTGATATAGTATGTAGCTATATAACCGAAGGGGGTTTCTGAGTTATCGAATCCGGAAAACAAAATGTATTTAGCTCTTATTTTATCATCAAAGGCTTCTTGAGTTGAGATTATTCTAGAATATGTTTTGCTGGCTGCAACCAAACAGCATTGAAGCTGTTATTTTATCCATCCATTTATATGTTTTATTTAATTTATTACTAACTGTCTGCTGGATTTACCATTGCTTCATGTTGTACTCTTCAATATGCACTATCAATAGTGCTTTTGTCTGCATTCTTCATTATGGACTTTAATAGTGATTTTTTCCACATCAGTGATCAAACCCGAAGGTTATGCAATGTGACTCGGAGACCTATTACTGAAATCAAAGTGAGCGACCGCAACATATTTTCAGGGATCACAATGAAGGTGATAAAGAATATGACATTTCCTGTATCCATTCTGCATATAACACCCATGTCTGCTTTCCGGAGTGATGCACATGTGGGTATGTGGAGTGACAACCCATTGGTACCTGATTGTAGCCACTGGTGTCTACCAGGAGTACCTGATGTGTGGAATGAAGTTTTCTTCACATATCTGCTTACTAACGATTGACTTCCCCTCTAATGAATGGCATCAAGTGAGTTTATTTTCCTTCCTAGTTGTCTTCTACTTCGCTTGTTTGTATCTCTGCATAAGTTCTACCTATGAAGCCTTTGACCGGTAATATGAGCTTGCATGTTTTCATTCCCATGTTTTGTCCTAAGAAAACATCATACTAAATGTTGAATAGCGGAACTGTTTAATAAATAAATCAATGTTCTACTTATCCTTCTCCTTGTTTATGTGCCATGGTCAACTTGAATGAAACCTCGCCTCTGTAATGGTTTTCGATTTACATAACCATCTCATATAACAAATTCATCTTTTCTATAGGAATACAGGACTTCCATTTTGGTGTGTGCTATCTCATCCATAAATGATCCGAGGCATTTTCAGTAGTTCATTCTATTATTTTTACCGACTCTTAAAGAAACGGTATTTGACAAATTACATGATCTCCACTCAATGAAATCCACCCCGTCCCATTTAAAATTTTCTTACTTTCGCCGTTTCCTGCCCCTTTGTTTTTAGCCATTATTGATTTTCTTTAGTCAAGAAAGTACGCAACTTAATACTGTTCTGTTACAGAATTTCATTTTACCTATTTTCTTTTTGGATTGCAGATTTGGCCAACTTACATTTAGGACCAACAGTTAAACCCCGGCAAGAAAGCTTATGCAGCCTCAGATCACCGCTCAGAAGCCAGGAGAATCTGCATTTTCTGGAGAAAAAGATAAAAGAGTTACACGGATAGAACAGTTTTGCGACCGAAAAGATTTTTTTAATCATATATTCTTTTGTACGTGAGAAGGGCCTGAAATTTGGTTCCTTATATGTAACAAAATTTTCCATCCTGTTCTGAAATCAGAGTTTTGGTAATGAGAGTCCACGACGATTAACAAGAGTCAGAGCACAAGACTAAGAAATTGATGTAGACATTTTTTCTGCTACTCTTTGGTGGGTAAATTGAACATAATATTTCTTTAGTTAAATGAATGACAAGCTCAGTTTGCTAATACAAGTTGCTCTCCAGAATGGATTGCATAGTAGTTTGATTTCATGTATTTTGCAGTAAATTTCTATCTTCATATTTCTCGTCAGTATAATTCAAACTCCATAAGAATAGCAGTCGGTCCCTTAGAGACCGTTGACAAACTCGAAACTTGAACTGCAGATTACATGCTAGTTCTGGTTGAGTTGCTCCTTAACTGTCGTCTGTGAAAAGGAGAAATTCTTCTGGTTACTTGAATTCCTACAAGCAAAAACATTCAAATTCAGTAAGATTAAGAATATTGTGTACGGCATTTATCTTATGAAATTGATACCAGTATGTGCCTCAGAAAAAAGATTTTATTAAGTAATTGCAATACTATGAACTAGAGCTGCCGATGCTGATGTCTTGGAGCAAACCAATTCAGAAAAAAACTACCAATTGATACAAGAAAATACCCTGAAAAAGTGAGAATGTCGGAAACTGCTTGCACACCAGAAAGTTAGACATTCAGTTTTCCACCTCCTGCTTGTTTGAGTCTAATGCTGCCCAATCTTCAAACTGTGGTATGATAAAATAAATACAAAATATGGTCAAAGAAATTGATTGGCATAAAGAAAAAAATAATAAAAATAAAAAATTCAGTGATGGAAGACAAGGGAGTTGAGTAGGTGGAATCTTCCAGTACCTCAACTCAGCTGTTACTTGTAAGAAGAAAATGACTGCTTGAACTTAAGAGCACCTCATTTTCAGGAATTTGTATTTACATTCACCTGGTCATTGCAGAAAACAAATTCACACCAATCATCAGCAATCCTTATATTAAAAATGAAATGATAAGTCTCTTGGAAATCAATAAAATAAAAGAAGTGTTTTTTAATGCAATCAATGACAACTCTTCAAAAGCTTAGCATGAGAGTCAAGTAACTAAAACCTTAGAAGCATGCAAAACATAAAACAATTGAAAACCTGAGACAGGAGTCAGCACTACAAATAGGCTTGAGCTTCTGATGAATTCTCCATCAGTCAGAACCAGCACAAACTCAATCTATCAGCTTCCATATCTTTCTCACATAGAATGACTTCTTCCATTCAGAACTCTAACTTTCCATACTTTCCTCTACCACCACCTCATTTTCCTCATTTTCCTCCACCCCATAACACTCCATCCCCTCCAAACGTTGCACCACCTCATAACACTCCGTCCCCTCCAAACATTGCGCCACCTCATAACACTCCGTCCCCCGTTGCGCCACCTCATAACACTCCGTCCCCTCCAAACATTGTGCCCCCTCATAACACTCCATCCCCTCCACAAGTGCCACCAGGCAGTAATAGTCCACCTCCAAAAGTAGCTCCACCACATAATCCTACTACATCACCGCCACCATTTCCTGTGCCAGCAGCACCACAACCTCCGGCAGCAAAACCACCCCCATCACCCATTGTAAGACCGCCACCTCATCCTCTTCCTCCACCATCACCATCTCATACCCTACCTCCACCGTTGCCACCTCATATTGTTCCACCACCTCCACCAGCGCCAGGACACCATTCAACCATTATAGTTATTGTCTTTGTCTCACTTGGAGGCCTATTTTTCCTTGCATTTCTCTCAGTTGCCTTGTGCTGCTTTATTAAAAAGAAAAAGAAGAGGATGGTTAAAAAGACTGAAATCATAAGCATCGATGAACATATGAAAGTCCAAGAAGCTGTTGTACCAGGCCCACATGGAGAACAGACCACAGTGTTAACCATTGAAGAAGATGTCCATGTTGAGGAAGAGATCAAGAAAAACAGTATTGTGAAAGGCTCCCACAATAAGAGTTCACAGGATCCTCAACCTTTTGATGTGGCAGCTTTGTCTTTGGGATCCAGTCATCAACATCTTGAGCACAAGGCCTAACAGAAATGATGTACATGACATGCATAAGCGGGAAAGAGATCATTTATTTTCAATAAACTTGCTGTGATAATACACGAACATTTGTTATTTTTACCATAACTGTAAAAGTATTTTGTTGGAAATAAAAACTGCAAAGTTATTGGTTACTACATTTATCCTTTACATAGAACTCCAAGAAGCCTATATAAAGAATTTTGATTTGAAACTAATTGGAAATCCAAAGCAAAGCCAACAGTCAAATTCAGAATCTCTTCATGAACCAGACCTCAATCTTCAACTCTCTTTGGGAATTAACTTCGAGGGTGAGAACTCGCTAACAAGGTCGTCTTCAGTGGCTGGATTCATGACTCAGAGAAAGGACTCTGGGGAAGGTGAGAGAAGAGTTTTTTCATTGGAGAGGTCTTGTTCTCTGCCGGCTGAGAGAGAGCAACAGCAGAGGCTTATAAATATGAGGGAGTTGCAGGCAACAGGAGAATTCAGGCGAAGAACAGGCTTCTGGAGAGGCAGAGGATAAGCAGGGAAAATAAAGAGAAAGAAAACTCTAAAGCTTCCCTGCAGGAGCCAATGCTCCCTTTGCCTCTAGCTGAAATGGCTACCTGGGCCGCGGCTTCGCCGGCAAAGAGCCCCCCTCTATATCAAGCCATTGTCAACATCAACCCACAAGGAGAGTAAACAGCTCAGAGCCAAAAGGACTATAAGTACTTCCCTTGAGCTTCAATTCTTAGCTGCAAATGTCGTTGTGCCTAAAAATATAAATTCCCAGTTGATTGAAGTAAACAAAGAAAAAGGTGACAAAACAAGAAAAGCTTATTGGGTTAGCGATAAAATGCAGTGCAGAATCAAAAACCAAAAGCTATGGACGAAGAAGAAGAGTTATTTTTAGAATTTTTTTTTTTTTTTTTTAAAAGTATGGACGGGCGTCCATTAATAATGGACGCCCGTCCAAACATAAAGGACGGGCATCCATTAGGAATGGACACCCGTCCCAATGTAAGGGACGGCCGTACCTAAAGTTTTTTTTTTTTTTATTTTCATATTTTGGTTAAGGATGGACGTCCCTTATTTGCGGACGCCCGTCCAAAATGAAGGGACGACCGTCCATAACAGATGAACGACCGTCCCTAATGTTTATAAAAAAAATTTTATTATATTTTATTCGAGGACGGGCGTCCTTTAAATGGGGACCCCCGTCCCTGTTATATGGACCCCCGTCCATATAATATGGACGGGGGTCCATGTGAGTGAACGGCCGTCCAAATTTTTTGGATGGCCGTTCACTAGAAAAAAATTGAAGAAAAATTCACGCGACTGGTACACGTAGGCCGATACACAATTTCAGTATAATTTTTTCGGTGTCCGTAGCGTTGTTGTTTGGAGCAAACCAATTCAGAAAAAAACTACCAATTGATACAAGAAAATACCCTGAAAAAGTGAGAATGTCGGAAACTGCTTGCACATCAGAAAGTTTACATTCAGTTTTCCACCTCATGGTTATCTTCCCTGCTTGTTTGAGTCCAATGCTGCCCAATCTTCAAACTGTGGTATGATAAAATAAATACAAAATATGGACAAAGAAATTGATTGGCATAAAGAAAAAAATAATAAAAATAAAAAATTCAGTGATGGAAGACAAGGGAGTTGAGTAGGTGGAATCTTCCAGTACCTCAACTCAGCTGTTACTTGTAAGAAGAAAATGACTGCTTGAGCTTAAGAGCACCTCATTTTCAGGAATTTGTATTTACATTCACCTGGTCATTGCAGAAAACAAATTCACACCAATCATCAGCAATCCTTATATTAAAAATGAAATGGTAAGTCTCTTGGAAATCAATAAAATAAGAGAAGTGTTTTTTAATGCAATCAATGACAACTCGTCAAAAGCTTAGCATGAGAGTCAAGTAACTAAAACCTTAGAAGCATGCAAAACATAAAACAATTGAAAACCTGAGACAGGAGTCAGCACTACAAATAGGCTTGAGCTTATGATGAATTCTCCATCAGTCAGAACCAGCACAAACTCAATCTATCAGCTTCCATATCTTTCTCACATAGAATGACTTCTTCCATTCAGAACTCTAACTTTCCATACTTTCCTCTACCACCACCTCATTATCCTCATTTTCCTCCACCCCATAACACTCCATCCCCTCCAAACGTTGCGCCACCTCATAACACTCCGTCCCCTCCAAATGTTGCGCCACCTCATAACACTCCATCCCCTCCACAAGTGCCACCAGGCAGTAATAGTCCACCTCCAAAAGTAGCTCCACCGCATAATCCTACTACATCACCGCCACCATTTCCCGTGCCAGCGGCACCACAACCTCCAGCAGCAAAACCACCCCCATCACCCATTGTAAGACCGCCACCTCATCCTCTTCCTCCACCATCACCATCTCATACCCTACCTCCGCCGTTGCCACCTCATATTGTTCCACCACCTCCACCAACGCCAGGACACCATTCAACCGTTATAGTTATTGTCTTTGTCTCACTTGGAGGCCTATTTTTCCTTGCATTTCTCTCAGTTGCCTTATGCTGCTTTATTAAAAAGAAAAAGAAGAGGATGGTTAAAAAGACTGAAATCATAAGCATTGATGAACATATGAAAGTCCAAGAAGCTGTTGTACCAGGCCCACATGGAGAACAGACCACAGTGTTAACCATTGAAGAAGATGTCCATGTTGAGGAAGAGATCAAGAAAAACAGTATTGTGAAAGGCTCCCACAATAAGAGTTCACAGGATCCTCAACCTTTTGATGTGGCAGCTTTGTCTTTGGGGTCCAGTCATCAACATCTTGAGCACAAGGCCTAACAGAAATGATGTACATGACATGCATAAGCGGCAAAGAGATCATTTATTTTCAATAAACTTGCTGTGATAATACACGAACGTTTGTTATTTTTACCATAACTGTAAAAGTATTTTGTTGGAAATAAAAACTGCAAAGTTATTGGTTACTACATTTATCCTTTACATAGAACTCCAAGAAGCCCATATAAAGAATTTTGATTTGAAACTAATTGGTATAAAACAGATAAAACATATACTTCACTGCTGCAGTGATCTTTCTCTCATCAGGAAATTATCATAAAAATATAAAAAGTGATTTTAGTATCATAAAATTTAAATGTGACATAAAGGAGTCTCATGGCATACACTGCAGAAGAGATCACAGCAGCAATCAGAATCTATTTAATACAGGACGGAGGTTAAAGAAAAATGAAAAAAAAAAAAAAAACAAAGTTTGCAATTGGTTCATTTTGGTTTTAATTTTATTTCCTTTGACTTGAGTTAGAATCATAGTGGAGAAAATCTCTGTTGCAAAACAAGTATGCATTAAAAGGGCATTGGCAATATTGTCGACGTTGGCACTTCAACACCGAAGTTAATGATTCGCGATACATTTTGACCGAGTTTTCTCTAGCATTTTTTGTATTCCATCCAAGGTGACTAGAGATCTCTTATACACACCACACTTAAAGGACTGGTATGAAATTCTAAAAACACTTAAGAAAACTTAGACAAATATCTAGTAAAATTACTAACTTAAGCATAGGAGTGCCAATGCCAACAACACTGTAGCCACCCTTCTAGTATGTTCTTGTTTTGTGAAAGAGATTTTCTTGACAACCTCGTTACTAAGTTATAGCGAACAGCCATAGCAGAAGTACTATTCTCACCTTCAACCAAAAAATCACCATCAACAACTAATTCTTTAACCATATGGTTAACATATATAGATTAATTATTGAAACCTAACAAACTGCACTTTAAAAATGACACAAGATTACACATTAATGGTATGTTTGGTGAACCACATTGTACTGTACAAAAGCACCAAATAGTAGTTGTACTATAAAGTCTGAATTGTATAATATTATATTAAGGTTATCCAATACAATAAAATACTATACAGTATGACACACCAAACATGATCTAACTGGGAAAAGGGGAAAAAATCTTAACAACAAAAATAGGTAAAGAGTAATGCTGTGCATGCCAAGTTTATATTTCAAGTTTTAATCTCAAGTGATGTAACACTAATCAATTATTACATATTATTTGTCATCTTATTTCTTCCTCCATATGACAATTATAAATCAGTGTCACATCACTTGAAATTTAAAAATTGGGACACCAAATTACAATGTATAGCATTATTCATAGGTAAAAGTTTTAACCATGGAACAAATTGATAGATGATGTAAATCTGTTTCACAGCTTTATATTCTAGCGGATCCAGTGGTTTTTCATGGTATATGCGTAGACACACATCCTGCATTCCAAAATGCAGCTCTGCCTGGACTATGAGAAAGGTACAGTAGCGTAATGCTTCAACTCTGGAAACTATTGCCCAAATTGCAGACCCTCATGAATAGTACAAGCATCACCAAATCTAATTGTAGCTTTTTGGGGAAAATTATTTACCTGTTTCAGTTATCAAGAATGTTTCCCTGTCTACAAGCATCAGGCAACATTGGTTCCTTAATGATTTCATCTAATATTTTGTATATCATCTGAGTTAGGGGATGAGAATGATCCCCTTGGAAGAATATATGGGTTTTCCCTGCAATGGTTATCCAACTGCAACCAGGGCTTTTAGTCAAACCCATTTTCCTCATCATCATTCTAGTTCTTGAGACACCGTCCAACATACAAAGAGAATCATAAATAGAACATAAGGCTATATAATTGCTAGGATTTCTAGGTTCCAAGTCAAAGAGATGATAAGCTGCAATTTCTCCAATCTCAACATTTTTGTGCATCAAACAACCTGCAAGCAGGGCACCCCAGACACTTGCAGTCACCTCCAACTTTACATTCTTTACCAATGCAAGTGCTTCCTCAAGATACCCAAATCGACCCAAAAGGTCCACCATGCAAGCATAGTGCTCCACACTAGGTTCAAACCCATAATCAGAGCTTATGGAGTTGAAAATCCTCTGACCCTGATCTATGAAACCTGAGTGGCTGCAACTAGACAAAACTGCAGTTAATGTAACGCAATTAGGTTCAAATCCACAATCTCTCATCTTCTTAAAAAGAAACAAAGAATCCTCTCCTTTTCCATGGATCCCATAACAAGATATCATTGTTGTCCAGGTTACCAAATTAAAATGGTGCATATTCCTGAAAACTGTTTCAGCATCTTGTAAACATCCACACTTTGCATACATATCAATCAATGAATTCCAAATTGCGATATCTCCCTCAAAAAGAACGCTCTTAACAACTTGACCATGTATTTCCTTCCCTTTCATCAAGTCCCCATCCCCTCCACATGCATGCAAAACACTAGGAATCACCATGGAATCCATCTTCACTCCTTCCTCATTCATATTCCTAACACATTCCAAAGCCTCCCTATACAGGCCAGCCCTCCCAAACCCTGAAATCATCGTATTCCAAACAACAGAGTCCTTCCAAAACATACCCGAAAAAACCTGCTTCGCATCAACAAAATCCCCAATTTTAACGTAAAAATCCAGAACAGATGTACCCACAATCACATATTCCTCAAACCCAAGTCTTATCACCCAACCATGAAGCAACTTCCCCATAAAAACTTCGCCAGCGCCTCCACAAGACTTAATCACAGGAGGCAATGTATAGTAATCGGGTCGAAAACCCATCTCAAGAAACATACCAAAAACACGGAAAACATCACCATACATCGAATTACTAACATAAGAAGCAATCAAAATGTTCCATGAATGCATGTTTCTTTTAGCCATTTTATCGAACACTTGGCGAGCGTCCCGAAGAAACCCGCATTTGGAGTAAGCTAACAGGAGATCCGTTTGGAGGAAAACGTTGGGAAGGAAGCCATGAACGATGATTTGAGTGTGGGTTTGCTTTGCCTGAGAGATTGCTAACAGAGAAGCACAGCTTCTCAGTAGAGATGAGAAGTAATATACCGTTTTGTGTGACATTTTGTTTTTTAAAGTTTTATAACGGTCGAGTCAAGAGAGGGCGGTAAGGACTAAGGAGCAGTATCTAAATTAGTCAACTCGGGATCGGTCCGGGCCGGGCCCAGTTTTTCTACGCAAGCGCGGATTTCTGGCCTACCCGGGCTTCAAGCCCAGGTTTGGTTAATATAGTGAAGTTTTCGATATTTTCCTTAATAGATGGGGGCATGTGTAATTTTATAAGTTATTGGTAATTTACATTGTAAAAGGAGCTACATGGACATTAGTTGATAGGAATTAGGAACTTTCTGAAACTTTTTAGGGAACTGTTTGTAATTTTTAGAGGGTTCCTATGTAATTTTATAAAATCTCAATATTATACATAGCCCCGCTTACGTACACCTCGAGCCTTATTTTCTAGGCTTGGGCCCGTGTGTATTATATGCCTGACTAGGCCACTCCAGCCCAGCTCGGGTTATTATTACATCCTTATTTAAACCATAAGGTCTGAAAAGATCCTCTATTGATAGAATATTTTTTATAGTTTCAACGAAAAATGATCTTAATATCCTCAAGTTCCCGAGTGATTAGGGTTGCAAACGAACCAAACAGTTCGCGAACAACTCGATATTCGTTCGATAACTATTCGATATTGTTCACGAATAGTTCGATATTCGTTCGATAATATGTTCGATCGAGTTCGAAAAGGGGTTGTTCGTTCGATTATGTTCGCGAACATTACACGTTCGACTGATCCATCTGTTCGCAAACAATTTGTTCGATTGTTCATTCGTTTATGTTCGAAAAATATGATATGCATTATTATAATTTATATTTTTTTTTTCATTTTTATATTATGTTTGGTTTAATTTGGATGAATTTTTTTTAATGGTAATTAATAATAAAATATTATGATACTTTTGTTTTTCTTATATATATAATATGTTTGGATTTTTTTTTTTTTTTTTCCAAATGTCATCAATAATTAAATATATAAGTATATAGCATTTTAATTAAGAAGTAATAAATTATTATGATACATAGCATGACAAATTTAATAACATAATAGATTGTATAATCAAGTGATATATAATATAGTAAATCTAATAACATAATAGCTTCATATTTTTTCAAATGTAATTAATAATTAAATATTATAAGATAGCATTTCAATTAATAAATAATAAATATAGTATAGTAAATTGATAAACATAACATATTGTATAATCAAGTGATATATAGCATAACAAATTTAATAATAGTTTAGTTTAGTTAAATATAGTATAATAAATTGATGAACATAACATATTATATAATTAAGTGATATATAGAATGATAAATTTAATAATATAATAGCTTAATTAAATATAATATGACAAATTTATGAACATAACATATTGTATAATCAAGTGATGTATAACATAATAAATTTAATAACATAATAGCTTAATTACACTTAAATTAATTACACATTTATATTGATCATATATTACAATAAACCCTCATACCACTATGAATTTATAAGTGTTGATACAAAATATATCACTATGAATTTATAAGTGTTGATACAAAATATATCACTATGAATTTATAAGTGTTGATACAAAATATATATGTAGACATGAATGATAATATAATTTTGATAATTTAATAACATATTTAACCTATGATTAATATATGTATGATAATAATTTTGTATATATACAATTACATATATATAACAAATTAATCATACATATGTATTAATCATTTATTACAATAGACTTTCATTCCACTATGAATTTATGGGTGTTGACTGTTGATACAAAATATAAATGTAAACATTAAAATATTTATAATAATTTATGTAATGATAATAAATATATGATAACTTATAATTTTGGTAATTTCATAACATATTTAACCTATAATTAATATATGTATGATAATAATTTTGTATATACATAATTACACATTATATATAACAAATTAATCACACATATGTATTGATCATATATTATAATAGACCCCTATTCCACTATAAATTTATAGGTGTTGATACAAAATATATATGTAAACATTTAAAATATTTATGATAATTTATGTAATGATAATAAATATATGATAATCTATAATTTTGGTAATTTCATAACATATTAAACATATTTAATTTATGATTAATATATGTATGATAATAATTTTGTACATACACAATTACACATTTTATATATATATATTTCACATTTTCCCTTACCAGCCGAGCCCAAATTTTAAAACAAAAATCCAAAGCCCAAATGATAATAAATATATTTTTTATTCGAACAGGCATTCGAACGAGTTATTCGAACAAGTATTTACAAGTTATCGAACAAATTATTCGAACAGGTATTTACGAGTTAGTCAAACGAACATGAATTGACCTTTTGTTAATCGAACGAACACAAACAATCATCATGTTTTGTGTTCATTCGAGTTCGAACACGAAAACGAACATGCTTATCGAACGGGGCTGTTCGCTTGTGTTCGGTTCGATTGCAGGCCTATGTGTGACCCTACCCACCAGACCTCCACCCAAACCCAACACATACAACACGCACAATTCAAGTGCACAAACACCCCGCCATCATCCAGCCAAACCCAACAATCCCCACCGTAGCCAACAACTCCACCACCACATAAAACACATCAATCCCCACCAAAAACACTTTCAATCCCCATAGAAACTCATTCATCACTTCTAATAAAATAAGAGTATGTTACGCCAACAACATATTCTCACAACCCCGACATAATAGTTGAGTTGGCACTGTCACGTCAATTCCACCGTACCCAAGACACAATGTAATTTTGACTAGACCAAAAAAACAATTGTTCCTGATGAAGGAATTGTTGTTTCTTACGGAAGGAATTACCATTTTTTATGAAGCAACCGTCATTCCTTATGTAAGGAACAACGTTGTTCCTTTATGAACAAAATTGTTCCAAGAAGAAGAAGAACGTTGTTCCAAGAAGAAAAGAAGAAGAATGAAATTGAAGAAAGGAATTGATAGGAGAGAAACAAGGTGAGGAACAACCATGGTTGTTCTTTAAGTAACAACAATTCCTTATGAAGGAATGAATGTTCTTTCATTAGAGACAATCGTTCCTTATAAAGAAATGATCGTTCCTTCATAAGGGATGATCATTCTTTCTGAAGGAACGACCATTTATTTTTCGTAGTGTCTTGGCTGTGGTGAAAACTCATAGTGTTTTGAGTATGGTGGAAACTAGCGTGATAGTATTAATATGTTGACACATTAGGATTGTAAAAGAACGTTGTGAGATTTTGTGGTAAACATATCATTTTTCATAAAATAATAGAACCATTCAACTCCAAACCTCAAACAATAAAAAATGAAAAAATTCAACCCCAATACCAGCCTCGCTCGATGCGGCAAATATGGCCTTGCAAGGTCATAGCAATGGCCTTTTGGGTATGGCGGTGGGTGTTGACGGGCCAAAAATATACGATAAGAGTTGTTAGTGACAATTTCTAACTCCGGGTGTCATTGTCGTTTCAGAATTTTTGAGGGAGTGTAAGTGGCAATAACCCTGAATCAAAATAAAAAATTGATCCTGACTTGATATTCATAACATTATTTAACGAAATATATTGTATCACACTTCTCTTTTAGGCTGACCGACTCAATACTTCAAATTACGTAATTTCTCACTTTTTTGTCACCTAATAAATAAATTCATTTCCTCATCTGTAAGGACAATGTTTCCAACAATATCAAGTGAAGATTGGCTAAATCCCTATATCATACATTCTGCTTCTGTATTAGAAGGAAAAAGAATTGAAAAATCAACTTGTTGACTAAACCAAAACTTTACAGAGGTTAGCACCGCGATTGTCATGGATCAATCGCCATTGGAGTGATGCGCCTCTTTGCTGCAGGCCTATTTTGAACAGGAGTTGCCTGTTGTTTCCCTTTTTCGCTTTCTGTTTCTGTCTTTTTGTTTTTGACTTCATTTCTCTCTGCTTCCATTGGTGTGCTATCGGCTGAGGTGAAACTGTTGTTCTTCGTGGTGGTTTTTTTCCCTTCGTTTGTTTCTGTTCCTGTTTTCTTTCTGTGCATTTGGTTTCGAACGCTACCATCAACTGTACTTGGTTCCTCTTGTTTCTGTTCTATTTCTGTCATCCTGCTACCTGCTTCATTTCCATCTGCTTCCATTCCTCTGCTATCTACTACAACTAGATCATCCTTTCTAGTTAGGTCGATCATCATGTCCTTGGATTTCTGAACATCAGGGATGTTGTTCTCATTACCTGTGACCTTATTTCCTACCAATATTGGATTGATACAAAACCTTTCAGACACAGGCCAAAGACTGGAAGGAGATAAATAGACAAACAGAAGAAAATGAAGAGATGACTGCAAACCTGATAAGGAGATGGGCGATCCCAGTTCGTCATTTTCGAATTCTACTAGAGTACAGTAACCATCTTGAGAGGACAAAGCTAAATATCGAGCATTAGGAGACCTTCAAGAAGAAGATTGAGAACAGCAGAAAAAGTTATTAACAGTAGTGACATAAAGAATTTATAGAATTACATTGGAACATAATGCAGAACGACTAAAACAATGTACCATGAAATGTCAGTTATGGCAGCATAGTGAAGACCAGCCAAGATTGCTGTGGGGGCAACACTCTCGGTGTCATATATGTACAAAGAATTTAAAGTTGCTATGGCAAAGACAAGGCGGTAAGGGAGCTTAAAGAATCCGCCTACATAAGTCAACAAAGGGCACTAAGATTATCATAAAAAAAAAATGCCAAGTTATGATAAGTGCAAAAACAGTAAAATGTATCATAATAAAAATACCTGAGTTTGAACCTCTAAGGCTAAAAGCCAGTGGACAGAAACGAACTGCTACAACAGGTTTGCTAGCACCTGGTAGCTGTAGAGCAGGCCTGTAGAATTAAATTAAAAATAACCCATTACAGCAATCAGTCTCAATTTCATATTCTCGAAAGATGATAGACAATGGAGCTGATAAGAAGATTTCTGTATAGAAAGAA